TACCAAAAGCTATGAAATTAGAAGGTGAATGGTCGGTTGGAGTTGTCGAGTTTCAATATCCATGCACCATGTTTACTGTTCAAGATCATGAAAATGTTGTATACATCACAAAAACCATGTTAATGCCTAATGAAGATAAACCATCAACAGTGTACTACAAAAAACATATTCCCGCTACCAACTACGATAACGTTGAACATATTTTAAAAACGTTAAATAGTATCAGAGAGAACTTGAAATTTCGTTATGATGAAATAACAAAATTTGTGTCTGTTTCTGTTTTGGATAAAAATATAACATCCATAACATTATCACCCAAATTATTTACAACTAGGTTATGAGCCAAATACAAATCTCTTAGACAGAAATTTTGGGAAGTGTCCTGCTAATTTACACTTAGGGTTACCATCTCAACTATTTCTATATTGCGATATTATCGATCCTCAGATTGTGGGTGATGTTATGACTCCGCTATTAAGAGTCATTTCATTAGATCCTTCAAAATACATTTATGGTGCGAATAAAATGCACATTTTCTCTCCACCTCACTACTTACCTGTTATGCGAAGAGAGTTCGATACGCTAGAAATAGATATAAGATCGAGCACAGGACAAAAAATCCCATTCCAGTTTGGAACCGTGTGTATTAAACTACATTTCCACAAATTATAATAATGTATTCTCATCATGATCATCATAAATGTCCATACGAAAATTATTATTCTCATCAAGCTGGATCAGGAGTTGGAGTAATTTATAAGGGTTCACCATACCAACGTGGTCATGGTATTGGGAGCTTCTTAGGAGGGTTATTTAGATCAGTTTTACCTTTACTTTCAAGTGGTGTTCGAGTGGTTGGTAAGGAGGCATTAAATGCTGGAGTAGGACTTTTATCAGATATGGTTCAAGCCCGTCCTATGGAAACCTCAATAAAAAATCGTCTAAAGCAAGTTAGTACGAACTTAAAACGAAAGGCTGATGACAAAATTGATCGATTTAACATGACAGGGTCTGGGTATATAACTAAAAGAAAACGATTGGCCTCATTCATTCCACCACTAACAGCGAAAGTGAAAGCTACGAAAAAACTTGGTCTAAAACCAAAAAACATCAAAGATATATTTTCAAATTAAGTATGTCTTTCCTTCATAATCATTCTTGTGAGTGCGTTAAGTCAGAATTAGATTTGTTTGCATTACCGTCTACACAAACAAGCATTGAAAATGGATTGTGGATTCACTATAAACCAATTTCATCTCTTGCTGATGATGGACCTATCGAGTTTCAAGTTCCTGGAACAGGCGATGACTACATAGATTTGTCTCATACATTACTCCACATAAAGGCAAAAGTATTAAATCAAGATTCAACAAACTTGATATCAGCTACAGCAGTAGCACCTGTAAATAATTGGTTGCATTCACTTTTTAGTCAACTCGATATTTATTTAAACCAAAAACTTGTATCACCACCTAATAATACCTATGCTTATCGAGCATACATGGAAACCCTTTTAAACTATGCTCCTGCTGCTAAACAATCTCATCTTACTTGTAGTCTTTGGTATGATGATACAGCAGGAAAAATGGATTCCACAGATGGTAAAAACATTGGATTTGTTAAAAGACAGGAATTAGTTAATGAAAGCAGGGAAGTAGAAATGATTGGTCATCTTCATGGTGATATTTTCAATCAAGATAAATTTTTAATTAATGGCGTTGAAATGAGTGTAAAATTAGTTCGGTCAAGAGAGAGTTTTAATTTAATTGCTGGATCAAATGATGTAAAGTTTAAAGTTTGCATTACGGATGCAACTCTTATTGTTCGAAGAGCACGAATTAATCCAAGTGTATTACTCGCACATCAGAAAGTTTTAGCTTCTACCACTGCTAAATATCCTATTACTCGTGCTGAAGTTAAAGTTTTAACAATTCCATCGGGTGTTCAAGGAAAAGCTCTTGATATTCTTAGGACAGGTACCCAAAAGATGTATTATTGGTTTTGTGAATAATTCCGCGTTTAATGGTTCACTTACTAAAAATCCATTTAATTTTGAAAACTATGGTATTAGGGGAAAGTGTTGTACCTATGCACGGTTTTACCTGTGGACACCACTAATATCTTAAAAAATAAACACATAAATTAAACGAATTGAACGCATCCGTAAAGTATTTTTGATACGTGGCAACACTGACTTGCTGCCATCTTGCGTTTTTTTTGAGAGTAACCGGTGACAGACTGTTAAAGGTTTTCGCGCAAAAAAGTAAGTATTTATCACTTTGTCGTCCTATATTTTTGTCAATAGATGCAGAATATAGATAGCTAATTTCGGTCAGACTGTAGTGTATATCGTTAAACATCTATTTTAAGCGGTATAATAATGTCAACTCGTAGCTATCATGACGGTAACATATTTAAGGTTATACTGCCAGATTTGTACCTGTGGACATCGAAATGCATGTACCTATGACTGACTGTCCACAGTACAAAATTTAGTTCAAATTTTTAGTTTGAATAGAATATTACGATTTAGAAGTATTTTTTATTACTTTTTTCAGTGCCTCGTAGTAAGGATGGAAAAACGCGACGTAAGTTGTGTCCAGAGACATTATCTGAGGCAATCAAAGAGGCTAGAAGTGGATGTTCTTTGCGAAAAGTTGGAGAAAAATATAATATACCAAAGTCTACCATATTTAAATACCTTCATATGAACAAGGACAACAATCTGAGCGAGACCAATGTAGCTATTTTGAGAAATGACGTGAAAAAAGTATTTGATGAAGAAGAAGAGAAACAAATTGAAAAATATTTAGAAAAAGCAGCTTACCTACATATGGGCTTAAATGCTAAGCAAGTCAGAGAGCTGGCATACCAATTTGCAGTCATGAAGCAAAAACAAAACATCAAGTGGCTGGCACGAAAACAATATGGCTGGGTTGGGATGGCTTAGATATTATCGTCAACGTCATCCTCATTGTCCCTACGGAAGCCTGAAGCAACCAGTCTGGCGCGAGCAAGTAGTTTTAACAGAGCTAATGTTTCTAGATTCTTTGATAATCTCCAAAAAGTTATCGAAAAATACCACTTCACTCCTGAAAATATTTACAATCTAGATGAGACCGGAATATCAACTGTCCATAACCCCAGAAAAGTTCTAGCCCCAAAAAATATAAAACAGCTAGGTAAATTTACATCAGCAGAAAGGGAGTAAATAATACCATGATTGCCTGTATAAATTCAATTGGAAATGCAGTTCCACCGTTGATAGTCTTTCCTAGAGTTTTCTTTAAAGACAATATGTTAAAAGGTGCTCCTCCAGGTACGGTTGGTGCAGCTAACCAATCTGGATGGTCAACAGAAATTATTTTTAGAAAATACCTGGATCATTTCATACAAATTGTCAAACCTACTAAAGAAAATCCGGTTCTCTTAATAATGGACAACCATGAAACGCATATCTCAATTGAGATTATTGAAAAAGCCGCCAATAGTGGTATAATTCTGCTCACATTACCTCCGCATACATCAGATAATTTACAACCCTTAGATCGTTGTGTGTTTGGACCATTTAAGGCGCAGTACAATAAAGCTGCTGATAACTGGATGCTAAATCACCCTGGAAAGCCAATTACTATTTATGATATTTCAGAAATCGTCGGCGAAGCATATCCCCTAGCGTTCACACCCAAAAACATTATTAAAAGTTTTAAAGTAACGGGTATATGCCCATTTAATAGAGATATATTCAGTGAACAAGATTTTCTGTGCTCATTTGTTACTGATCGACCGGAGCCATTGACCACAATTTCTGAAAATACAACTCAAAATCAGTCTGTCACTGAAGAATCAGCAATCAATTTAAAGTGCAATCAAGATGAAACTTTATTGACTACCAGGAGACACAGAATCCTAATAACAGTGTAGATGAAGATGTGCATATGGCTGGATCTTTAACCGGAACCCTTCAAAAGAATTTAGACATAGAAGCTGAACCTACTGCAAGCAAATCTGTTAATCAACTAGAAATTTCCTCTCTTAATAATACTGTTGGTGGATGTGGAAAAAAAGTAATGTAAATGCAGCAGTCACTCCGAGAAAACAGCTTATTTCACAAGTAACACCAGAGTCAGTACGCCCATTTCCAAAAGCAGACCCCCGAAAGGCAACGCGACGAGGAAGGAAACCTGGAAAAAGTAGAATTTTAACTGATACACCTGAAAAAAAACGAAATAAAGAATGAAGCAATAAGAAAGGCAGAAAATAAAAGAAAAATTGAAGAAAAGAACAAAAATAAGAAAAATAACATACCGAAAAAACCAAAAAGTTCCTCTGAGTGCAGGCAAAGGCTGGCCCTAGCCAGATAAAAATTCTTAAAGACGAGCTGTATGCCATGTGTATGGGATGTAGAAGATTGGCAAATGTTAACAAAATGCTCAATTGTTCTCTATGTGATTTAAAATATCACAAGAAATGTGTATCAAAGGCACACAAAGATAATTTAGAATCAGATGATGAATCTGGCTTTCTATGTGAGAAGTGTTTTATATTAGACGATGGTGATTCAGATGCCACTGATGATTCTGAATTAGAACTATATGAAAAGTATTGCGATGCCAAAAAAAACAATAATTATTGATTATTTGATGTTAAAGTTGCTTTATAAGAGAAACTCTGATTATTTTGTTGATTTTTAAATAATTATTACTAAGGAAAAGTGATATGTCCATAGGTACATTGCTGTCCATAGGTACAAGTACAGCTGTCCACAGGTACAATAATAACATGTACCTGTGGACAAATTTAGTATTTTTAAAAAATGTTATTTATTATAATATTATAGTTAGTAAAAAACTTAAGACTGCTAATTCTTAAGCATTAACTATTCCTGTAACAACATTTGTGATAATTTACGGCTAATAAATGGAAATTAAGTAATTAAACCTTATTTTAGTTCAAAATTCGGAAAATGTCCATAGGTAAAACACTTTCCCCTAACTCTTTCAGTTTATATATTGACTAGCTGTTGCCCGCGACTTCGTCCGCGTAGATTAATGACTTCTGACAGAATTAACCAGAATCAATTCAGTGCCCAAGTAAGATTTACCTATTTATCGTTTAGATTTATCGTAGTTTCAATAAATAAATAATCCCGCAGGGATCTTACCAGTACAGTGCCCGATCACGTAAGGTTTGAGTAATAAAAACTATTCTATCGACTATTGTTGTACCGAATCTCTCTAGAATAAGTTCAGTGGTTAAGAGTTAGAGAGTCCTGGGGCATTGACGCATAGTTCCCGTTCTCGTGAGACATCTTTGAAAAAACTATCATACGTTACCCAGGTCCTAAATCATCGTTTTACCGAATGTAATTCAAAAAGATTCAATGATTTTAAATTCAACGGCTAAGAAGATTTAAAAACAAACTCTCATTCCCTATTTTATCCCCTTAGGGGTGGAGTTTATCAAAATCCTTTCTAAAGAGATACCTATGTCATAGTAACTTTATGCATGCAAAGTCTCAGCCCGATCAATTTAAAACTGGCAATGTATAATACAAACTTTCACCCCCTATTTTACCCACTTTGGGGTGAGAATGTACAAAAACCTTTCTAAAGGGACGTTTACGTCATAATATCCATCTGCACGCCGAATTTCTTACCCTACTTACTTTCACTTTCATCCCTACTTTACTCCCTTGGGGGTGGAAATTATCAATATCCTTTCAAAGCGGATGCCTACGTCATAACATCTATCTGCATGCCAAATTTCAACCCGATCGATTTAAAACTGACAATGTCTCATACAAACTTTCATCCCCTATTTTACCCCCTTGGGGGTGGCAAAGACCAAAATCCTTTCACAGTTGATACTTACGTCATAACATCTATCTGCATGCCAAATTTCAACCCGATCGATTTAAAACTGACAATGTCTCATATAAACTTTCATCGCCTATTTTACCCTCTTGGGGGTGGAAATTATCAAAATCCTTTCAAAGCAGATGCTTACGTCATAACATCTATCTGCATGCCAAATTTCAACCCGATCGATTTCAAACTGACAATGTCTCATACAAACTTTCATCCCCTATTTTACCCACTTGGGGGTGGAAATTATCAAAATCCTTTCACAACGGATGCCTACGTCATAACATCTATCTGCATGCCAAATTACAACCCGATCGGTTTAAAACTGACAAAGTCTCATACAAACTTTCAACCCCTATTTTACCCCCTTGGGGGTGGAAATTATCAAAATCCTTTCACAGCGGATGCTTACGTCATAACATCTATCTGAATGCCAAATTTCAAACCGATCAGTTAAAAACTGACAAAGTTTCATACAAACTTTCATCCCCTTTTTTACCCCCTTAGGGGTGGAAATTATCAAAATCCTTTCTTAGCGGATGCCTACGTCATAACATCTATCTGTATGCCAAATTTTAGCCCAATCTGTCCAGCGGTTTGGGCTGTGCGTTGATAGATCACTATGTCAGTCAGTCAGTCAGTCAATCACCTTTGAATTTTATATATATAGATGGTCAACAAATACCTTCCAAAGCTTTGCAACCATCTTTTAATAATAGGTAATATATTTACATCAGCATATCATACTCTATTCTCGGGGACAGGTATTCACTTTCTTAATGAGGGAAATGCAATCTCTCGTGAACAGTATGCTAAAGGTTACTGTCTTTTAGCATTTGATTTAACTCCTGATTTATCAGCTAACTCATCAGCCCATTGGAATCTCATAAAACATGGTAGTGTAAGATTAGAAGTACGATTTGAATCGTCACTAATACAAACAATTAACTGTATTGTTTATGCTGAGTTTGATAATATTATTGAAATAGATAAAAATAGAAATGTTACTGTAGACTATAGTAGTTAAGATTATAATATGTGTTGTGTTTTAGATATATGTGTTATGCTTAATGCATTTTGTGTGTGTGTAACTAAAGCTAATATTATAAAATTAATAAAACAAATTATATGCAATGTAATATTTTTTATTTCTTTATATACCTCCCTTATTTAATCTTACACAAAACACTGTTCGAGTTTAAACTTCATATAAGCACATTGACTAAACCACTGAACATGCTGCTGCCAAGGATCATCGTCATCTTCCCAATCTTTTAAACCACCACCACAATGGAAACACTTAGTCCTGTCTCCATGGCCAGTATAAAAGAAACCGGCTTCTGCAAGATGACTAAACCACTGAACATGCTCCTGCCAAGGATCATCGTCATCTTCCCAATCTTTTAAACCACCACCACAATGGAAACACTTAGTCCTGTCTCCATGGCCAGTATAAAAGAAACCGGCTTCTGCAAGATCTTCGGGCTTCTGCTGCATAACGAGAGGCCAATTTTCGAAACTCATCAACCGTCTAGATTTTGAACTGAAAAATGGATATTCAGCTCTTGGGTACTGCATATTCTTCACTTTTTCTTCTCCAATCAGTTTTGTAGTTTTGTTTTTCCATGAAGTGTTCTGTACACGTATACCACACTCATCTCTTCCTTCTGCTATTGTTTTTCTCTCAGCATCACAAGACGACAGCTCCTTGGATCTAATGATTACACAGAAGTACTTTAAGTAAACAGAATCACATTCACGAATCCACTAATGAGTGTCATTGTTAAAAAAGTATTTTTTAACTTTTTCACTTTCTGCTATTGTCTTTGTAATATTGTATACGAGACCGTTTGTGTTGTCGTAGATGCTATTCTTATTATTCTTTACGTAATATTTAATCCTCGTAGTAGCGTGCTTCCAGTGATCACTAATTGGAATCTTGGATAGTTTCTTCATATCATACATTTCAATTTTTATGAGATGCGTCGCTTGGTCTCCGTCGTCAGAATTTGTAGAGATGTATGATACGCCATCTCTAGCAGCTCGTGCCACAGTCGACGATAGCTGCTTCTTCCTTTTTATTTTTGGTATCACTTCAAAAAATTGATCAATCGGTTGCGATTTCCTTTTTCCTCCATCGTCTGTGTTATTAACGACGATGTCATCTCTCACTTCTTCGTGTTGGGGAGAGAGTGGCGAGTAGTAATAGTGTTTATAGGTATTTTCATTATCGTCGACGAAGCTGAATGATCTCTGCAACAACAGAGTTATCACGTTAATATCAATTTGTTTACACTTAATCCGACTCACACGCACACACACACGTTAGGAAAACAACAACAGAAATACAAGTAAGTTTGTCAATAGAATAAACACTTACCTCCATGATCATTGATGCGTTGAAGTAGGTAACACAAACGTAGTATTGGTAGACGTATACAATCCACTGTGGTCAAATGACCATAAACTGACTGCATGACTGCAACTGTTCGATCTTATATAGCACAATTCTTATCTCGGACGGAACTCTATGAGTCAACAAACTTATCTCACGTCGCAACAGGCATGAACATGTTTTGTGACTCCCACAAATCACTATCTTAATTACACATTAATTACACATTACTATGACCACGTTATCTGAAGTAAATTCCTAAGTACAACGGAACTCTATGAGTCAACAAACTTATCTCACGTCGCAACAGGCATGAAGATCACTATGCGATTTACAAATCACTATAATTGAACATTCCTATGACAACCATTGAATAGATTGGTACTGCAATAAACTGCTAATAACAGTGATATCATGGATACACTAGAATTAAAAAAACATATGAAAAAGATTCATCCCAGTCTAGAAAATAATGTTTATGCTGCTAATAGACTACCTATGTATACACAAGTACCAACGTATATAATATCCAATTTGGATGCGGATGATAAACCAGGCTCACACTGGGTAGCTGTACATATCGATGTGAATGGCATCGGTCAATATTTTGATTCATATGGACGAACACCTGAGCGATATCATCTTCAGTTTTTGAAAAGGAATTGTAAGAGATGGGACTGGAATGTTGATAGGATTCAGAATGATTGGACTTCAGTTTGTGGTGAATATTGCATGCATTGCTTAATGTATTTGCTATTTAAGTTTCAAGGATGTTCAATGAATAGTTTTACGAACATATTTACAGGAAACACACTGTACAATGATATTTTTGTGGATGAGATGTTCCACTCATATTTTGTAGAAAAGTAATGAAATAAAAAATTAAAAATGAACGGTTGTGTTTTATTGATGACATAGGAAATCAAACATAATGAGGGTTAATTATCTCATTAATTAATTAATGAGATAATTAATTAATAGATACAATAAATTGATTTGCAATCGATTTGCATAACTCCAGAACCACGCATCGTACGCTAAAAAGGATTGCAGAAACGTGAGCAGAGAGATTTTTTTTTTTTTTTTAGGATTGGTGCAACTGATTCGCGGCATTCTGGGCGGTCTGAGCCTGGAATTCATGAGCCAGAACCGGCGAATCATCACTACTGTTATTTACGTTGGGATCGTACCACTTGAGAATCGCGAGGTCATATTGCCACGAGCACATGCGTTTGAATGGAGTATACCACATCGAAATATACCGACACCAAGAAATGATCGAAAACAAGATACTAATAAGAGGCCGAATTCAGTCGCGACACGTCTGTAGTAAACAATATTATACGTATATTTTAGTAGATCCCAACGAATTGGAAGAAATGGCATTGATCAGTATTACTGCTCGTGTATACACGGCCGCCGCACTGTTGGAAGCTGTGCGCATGTTGTAAGCCTAGTTTACTTTTTATCATGGGCCAGGAATCAAGATGTAATAGATGCACCTGCAGCCTTTTTAGATGACATAACAATAGATTTTGATCAAGCAGAATAAAAATATTATTTAAGTAGAACTGGATTTTATTTTTGTCCCTTAAATAGTTGAAAATTAAAGCTTTTAAAACTAGCACATTCTACTTTCTTTCCTGTGGGAATTTCCCCATGGGAAATTATCCGATACCACTTAGGGATGAATAGCTTTTGACTGGTAAAAGTATTTTTGAAATCAGTCCAGTTGTTTTGAGTTAATTCGTTATAAAAATGCTTTAAAAATGTCTTAATAATAATAAATAAAATATTTTTTTTCTCAATTCTCCCATGGCCCACAAAAATGCGACCCACACCACTGGAGTCTAGATACATTTATCTATATAGAGGTAAATATAAGAAATTGTTTTTACAAGATTGTACATCTTCCTGATAGAGCTTGTACATCTTTAGAAGCGGATTCATTTCTCCAAAATAGTGCCATAAAGCACAGTGGCCAAAGAATTAAAAGAAAGTCGTAAGTATGAAAAATATACATGTATAGTAATCAACTATGCTTTTGTCATTAGTGTATGTACCTATAGATAACAGCACATGAAACGTTACACTTTTATTACAAAGTCACACCTATCATGACACAAGGTGCCAGTGTTTGCTACGCTTGGTGTGCTATTGTCTGTACAAATATCTAAAAACACTGTTTTTACTAGCTTTCTAATGTTTTATTAGCTTATTTTTCTATTCAAGACTTAAGTTACTATTCGATGAGGTACCTTTATAAATTTAATGCGTACCTAGTTGATATCATTCAATATGCTTCATTTTAGGAGTCAAATGAACACAACTACATCGAAAAAAAAAGAGCGAGACGAGAAAGAATACAAATAATAAAAGTTCAGATCAAGAAACAGAGGAAGACATGAATATAAACCTGAAAATGCCAACTATGGTAGATGAATTGATAAATACAAATCCAGAGATGCAAAAAAACACAAGAAATATGAATCTGAAGCAGGGGATCACTTAGATGAAAAAGAAAATGACTTTGGTACTTATATAATTTGTTTTAATTACTTTTATATAAACACACAGCACACTCTCCTATGCGCTTATTATGAATCTAATTTAACATACATGCACACGCACACTACACAGACACAAACACTCAAGTTAGATTGAGACGAAAGTATGGTATGAAGAGCCAATGTTTTGCCAACTTTGTTGAGGAGGCAATTAAATTTTCAAACGAAATTAATTTTATTTAACTTTACTCTTTTACAGACGACGATACGCCAGACACAAATTCCAACAACTCATCGAAAATAGTGGTATTCTCTGACGTGAAAATAAAAAACAAGATTTTGGATTTAAAAAATGAGACCAAAATGATGAATATCAGTTCTGATAATTTACATAATGTACTGTGCAGCAAAAGTACAAACAGTAATTAACTATGCGAATATGCTGACAAATTATCGTTAACATTGATGATAGAGACGACAGAGAACTGGATGTAAAATTATAAAATTTTGTTGTTATTTTTGCTCTGTTTAGGTTTCCTCCGTATTAAGTACAGTAAATCTGTAGGTTGAGTGGTGAGAAAATTACCTAAAGGGTAAGTCTTGTTTTTTCAGTTGCCAAATGACGTCATTTGAATTTTTTTCGACATTCGATTCGATTTTTTTCGACAGGTTGCCTGTACTATATAGTTACTATTGATTGATTGTGCAATTTAGCTTCACTTTTCTTGGACTGACTGATATTTGACTATTCAAAAGAGTACATATGGTTTATTTGAAATTAATGTTTTCAATTTGACTATTTTTGATACAAATTTATATGACTGCATATTAAACAGATTAGGTAGACTTATTATTAATTAGTTATTTTAGATTGGTGTAGACTGCAGGTCTTTAAAATGATCTGTAGATTATTAGTGACAAGTAGCTAGCTAATGCTAGTAAAGTTACAGTGCGTTAAGTATCAGTGATGATTTTGTGATTTCGAAATAAAAATTGTTTCTTCTTACGTTTTCATTTTATTATTACCCCTAATGTTGTCAATACCGGAATAAATACCATTTGGGAGTTGCAAACCATACATAAAAGCTTACATTTCACATCTTGTAAATTGTATCCTCTTGATTCTTCTACTTCATAATCAAGTGATGTTGCATATACATTGATATGCGATGAATTGAACGGTCGCTCAAAAAAATCAAATTTGGTTTTGATATGCCTTCCCACGATTTTAATTTTGTCATTCGCAGAAACGGCGTACATCATTTCAACGATATCATTATGTACACTTAAAAACCATTTGTCTTTAATGTTTCTGGACAACTGGTAACTCCCATTCATTTCGACAGTAGTAAATACTTTTTCACCTGTTGCCAGGAAACTTTCATATTTGACGGCGAGATAGGTTTGGTTACATTTTTGGTTTTCGTTATTTAATTTTGAAAGCTCCTGTATACGATTCGCTACTTGTTCTAATGGTTGATTGCCTTTTCGTAACAAGTCCCGACACGTCTTGTGCGTGTGCCCGCTCGCGCGGGAGTACCAGCGCGACCCGGTGTCTGCGTGATATCGATGTTTTTGCCAAATTTCGGCAAGTCGATGTAAGCGACGCATTTCTGAGCAAATTTTGCTCTCAAATTTCGATTTGTTTGTGCGTTTGGTGTTTGAAAGTATTCTTTGCGATCGTTGATTTATAGTTTTTCTTACTTTAGTATTCTTTGTAGTTTAATTATTCCTTTTTTTAATATTTTTAATAGTTAGTAGGGGAAGGTGAGGTAATACGATCCCTGTAGGTCAAATGATCCCCCGTTGTAAGTCAGAAACACACAGGATGTTTTAACTTTAGCTTACCAACTGGCAGAAAGAAATAATTTACCATCCATACACATCCATTTTCTGAAGCAAAAGGAAAAGCGGGACTTGAATGGCTTCGTGGATTTAAACGTAGACATCCGGACATTACGATGCGTGCTCCAGAATCGACATCTTCTGCTCGAGCGAGAGCTTTTAATAAGCCTGTGGTGGATAAATTTTTTTCGACTTTGAAAAACGTGCAAGATAAGCATTATTTTCCACCCCATCGAATATTTAATGTTGACGAGACGAGTTTATGCACTGTCCCAACAAAAAACTCGAGAGTATTTGCTCAAACAGGTCGTAAACAAGTGGCTCGTGTGACTTCAGCTGAGAGAGGCGACACAACTACTGCAGTGATCTGTACCTCAGCTTCTGGAACTTTTGTTCCTCCAATGTTAATCTTCCGCAGAGTCCGGATGAAAATGGAATTAATGGATGGCGCACCTCCAGGCGCTATATGTACATGCAATCCATCCGGATGGATGAAATTAGAGATGTGTTTTCTCAGTGGTTCGATCACTTCTTAAGTCATACCAAACCGACAGCAGAAGACACCGCTCTTTTGATATTGGATGGTCATCTATCTCACACAAAAAATTTAAATGTGGTATTAAAAGCCAGGGATAATCACGTCACTATTCTATGCCTACCACCTCATTGCACCCACAGACTCCAACCCCTAGACGTTGGTGTTATGTATCCACTAAGCGTTTACCATAACCAAGCGTTGGAGAAGTGGATGAATAACAATCCTGGGAGAGTGGTAACTGTGTTCCAAATAACGAAAATTTTTACAGAGGCCTATCTAAAAGCAGCAGTTCCACTGAATAGTATGAATGGATTCAGCAAAACAGGAATATATCCGTTTAACCCTGACATTTTCACTAATGTGGACTTCATTGCAGCTGAAACGACTGAAATGGATGTCGACAATGACACGGTAGAACTTCCCACTCCGATTTCTGGGACGTCAAGTCCTCCATTAGTAGAAACCGTGCAAATACCTTCTCCTCAATCGAGTAATCCAGAAACTGAATCATTACAGATTTTACCAGTGGATGTCCAAGAATCCCTTCATTTAACACCTCAGCCGTCTCCGATTCAAACTTCGACTCCAGTGATGACTCAAAAATATCCACAGTCATCGCGACAAGCACCATCGTTCTCAAGAAATATCTAAACATCTGAATCTTCTGAAAGATTACCTCCAGCTTTGGCTGCTGGTGTTCCATCTACATCTTTTGGTGTTGTTACGCCCAGGGAAGTACGACCGACACCGAAGATAGTAGGAAAAAGAGCGAGTGCAAAACGAATAAAAGTAGACACATCAGTATTGACCAGCACACCCTACAAAAAATACCTTGAAGAGGAAGTCAAAAAGAAGACAGACATAGAACAAAAGAAAGCCCTTAAAGCAGCGAGTAAATTAAAAAACACGGTGACCAAAAAACAGAATGATAAAAGAAAAAGTGGTGGGAAAAGAAAAGGAAAAGGAAGCGGAAAGGGAAAAGGCAAAAAAAAGCACAACAGATCAGATTCTTCTGAAGAGGAAAGTGATACCGAATGCCTCTTCTGTACTGAAAGCTACTCCAAAGACAATAAAGGCGAAGGGTGGATTAGGTGCGTTTTGCGTCTTAAATGGGGACACGAGGCTTGTGCGGGAGTTGATAGTGACGATGAAGGCGACTTTACTTGTGATATTTGCCTTTCTTGTGATCAATTTGATACTGTAAAAAGAAATCTAAGGCTGTAGGTTTATTTCTAGGTTCCTGATAAGAAAATAACAATTTTTTATAAGAAGAGTTGATTTTGCTATTGCGTTTTAACATTGATAAAAAACCTTTGATAATTTTGATTATTATTTGTTTTTTTTTATTTAGAAGAAGAGTTTATTTGTTAACCTGTTGCTTGACTAGGTATGTTGTTAATTTTGAAGTTTGTTGCAATGTTTAATGTTTAGTTTTGTTGATTAAATAGTAAATAATTACAAGAAAAAGATCTCTAATGAAACTAGAAGACTGCAAAAGTTTTGTATAACTTGATTACATACTTAAATTGTTATGAACAATATATATGATTAAAATAAACAGTTGAGTGTTTTATTCCCTGATATTTATTTAGTTATGGTATAAAATGATCCCTGGGATCATTTTACCCCGACCCCAGGGATCATTTTATACATAGGTGTGAATAAAATGATCCTTTACTAAACTTTTACGAAAACTTCTTATACGAAAAAACTACATACATATAATACATATAGATTTAGAATAAGGAAACTGTGATTTTAAATAAATAATTTGTGATTTTGAATAAGGAATCTGTGATTTTAAATAAATAATTTGTGATTTTGAATAAGGAATCTGTGATTTTAAATAAATAATTTGTGATTTTGAATAAGGAATCTGTGATTTTAAATAAAGAATTTGTGATTTTTAATAAGGAAACAGTGATTTTAAATAAAGGATTTGTGATTTTGAATAAGGAAACTGTGATTTTGAATACAGAATTTGTGATTTTTAATAACGAATTTGTGATTTTGAATAAAGAATTTCAAATTTTTAATAGTTTTTTTTTACCTGCAGATTTATCTCCGTACGGTCGTTCACATAAGTCACTAAAACCACATATGTGCTTAAACGTACAATATTCAATTCGCCGCTGGCAGACTACTATTGTTTGCAATAATACTCAAAGTGGCAGAGGGTATTTAGATGATGAAGTAATTATAAAAATACTGCTAAATAGTGCCATTAGTAAAATAGTAACTATATTATTTTTATACTGCAACGATGTTTAGCTGAGTACTCAGGCTCAGTGCTTGAAATCACTATAGACTAGTGAGTCTATAGTGCTATCAAGCACTGAGCCTGAGTCTACCTAGTGAGGTATTAATAGTAAAAGGTCTCACTTACAAAAGTACACCCGCGATCCTGACCATTGCCAGATTAGCCATATAGCAAGAGTGAATGCTACGGGCCCCGCTGCACTCCAACGCATGTTGAAAGGATTATCTCTAATTTTGCCCATATTAAATCCAGAAAAGTTTATTTGTAAAAGTTTTGTTTTATTTAATACCCTGAACTTCCGAAGAACCAAAAGCAAACCAAGGGCCCCTTGACAGAATTTACTACAAGCCCCGCGATGGCTTAATCTGGCACTGATCCTGACAAACAAATGAATACTCTAAAAACATTTTAGGAATTTACTTACCTCAAAGCGACAGCTAGACGTTCTGTTGGGTGGATGGAAATTTTTCTTGAATTGTATTTTTGTAGTCTGTGTTCAATTCTTCCAAACAATTCATCAAAAGTACGAATGGACATTCGAAAATAACTCGTAAACTTCCGTTCATTCATTCGTAAATTGCCATAGTGCGTGACAAACATTCCAGCAAGAATCCTCCTTTCAAATAATAGGCCACATTGTGATCTTGTTTTCTTATTCCGTCTTTTGTAAATTAAGTAAATGATTAACAACTTTCTGAGTTTGTCGTCCATTGTACACAACCACAACGCATAGCAGCCCGCATCAAACTAGATTATAGACTATCGGGTTTCACGCTGCGTGAAATTTTCTGCATGCGGGGCAATACCGCACGCGTGACGAAATCCGCACGATATTAAAAACACCCTTAGTACGTAGTTAGTTAATTAGTTAGAAGTAGATTTTAGTTTTAGATTTAAGTTTTCTTATTATTTTATTTTAGTTTTACAGTAGATTTAAGTTTCATTTTTATTATATTATATATATTTTTAATTTAACATGGACCCGCTGCAGTTGATTTTGGCGCGCAATTTCAATTTATGGAATTACGCTTGCGCAATTCCTAATGAGGAGACTGCGGTGACTGCAGCCAAAGCGTGGCTGCTTATTCCAGCCCGGACGCCTAGGTGTCCAACATGCAGAGGCCCCATGTCTAGAGAGACCAAAATGAGCTACAAGCTTAAGTACCGATTAAGGTGCTGGAGGTGTGCTAGGGAGGGCAGGCCGTCCATTAGGTCCCCTCTTAAAAATACGTTTTTTGAGAGGGCCCACGTTAGCGTGTTAAACACGCTACGTCTTATGGTACATATCTTGAGAAAGGATAAAGTGTCGCAGGCGGCAAAAGATGTTGGGGTTACAAAGAAAACGGCAATCCAAACATATCATTACCTAAGAGAGGTGTGCGAGGTGGCAGAAGCCCACGACAGAGACTTGTTAGGCGGAAGCAACGACGTAGTAGAAATAGACGAGACACATTTGTATACAAGAAAATACCATAGGGGCCGGCTGTTAAGGCGGCAAACATGGTCGTTTGGGTGCATAAGCCGCCTTACCAGACAAATACACGTAGAGCTAATCCCAAACAAAGCGCGTACGACTCTGGACCCTATAGTGGAGGCAAACGTTCGCACAGGGTCGTACATTATGTCCGACATGCACCGCGCCTACAATAATATACATTTACGGTTGGGCATGAGGGGTCACTCAGCTGTCAACCACAGCCTGAACTTTGTCGGGGGCACGGTTGACATTCCCGTAGATACCTCCCTGGGGGTACCGGCTCCAGGTGGGAACGTAAAGGTAAAAATCCACACCAACACCCTGGAGCGGCAGTGGCTAGAACTAAAAAGGCATTGTCGGACATGTCGAAGCCAGCGTCGCCTTAAGTGGTACATCAATCTCAATTTTTCACACACACACACACACACACACACACACACACACACATATTCAGCTAAATTTATATTATTTATACAATTTCATGTTTATTT